GTGAAGTTATTAACGCGATACATCCGAGTTTGTCACGAATAATGGTAAGTTTGACCCATCATTAACGTCAAATTTATTTCCAGTTCAATGAGTTGCGAACTCACTTATCTGAGACATCGCAAGGACAGGTCGACACAAGGGTCTAGGACTCTGGAAATAGCATGAACGCAGGTGAGACCTACGACCCGCGCCCACCCGCTTGAGGTGGGGTACCACGAGAACGAGAGGTCCAAACTTTGAGTAAAGAACTTTGCCCTGTCGTCCAAATAGAGGAAGGGTGAGGGTTCTCGAGGTAATCTTGCTGATCTTTGTGTTACGGTGTTTGTGTAATTGTCGTCGTCGGGACCACGCCGTACGATGAACGTTTACCTACAAAAAGTCTTACGGCTGTAAAGTTTGTGACGATATTATTGAACTTAACTTTCAAAGGTGATACTCAGGTCAATAATAGCCTGGTCCCGGTAAGGGATACCCTCCGTTACGTTACGGTAATTTTTCTTTTTTGATCTTTAATCCTTGTTATGTTAACTGTCGGGAAGTCCCTTCTCGTTCTCGTTCCAAAAGAAATATTATATCAAAAGTACAATTTACCGTAAGAATAGGAACGGTTCAAAAGTCCGCTTCGTTTTCACGCCTGCACATCCAAAGGAAAGTGAAGACTCTTTCGGAATAAGTCTGCAACGGGGGACGAGCTCAGTGCGTCCTTCTCGGAGTGTTTTTTGTCCGGAGAAACCCTTTAGACTGAGCTTGGTGGAAGGAAGTTCCAGAAGACAAGGGGACACATAAATACTTCTTCAGTATAGGGGGGGGTCAATTTTTAGTTAGCAAGGGGGTCGACCGGGTGACCGGGACCGAAAAACAAAGAGGACATGATTATTTATGATTTTCTTTTACAGACCAATCTGCGGATAAGGACGTGAGTTCAATCTGAAGCCACTATTGGTAACTGTCTAATCGGACGAGGTGAAAAACCAGGAAGAAACTGGGTGAGATAGTGTTAGACCATCCTGACCCCGAATGAAGAAACGTGGTCTGGTCGTCATAAAATTACATTGTCGCGGTAAGTTCTGTCGGATAATTACATATATGATGAATGAGAATTCACACAGGAGTAATATACATCCGATATCCATGAATGTTATAGTGTTATAAATTGGACTTTTTTTCCCATGTTAGACACGGTCTGACCTCTACGCCTGCATACTTTGCATTCCCAACCGCACCCTTGTATTCCATCTAAATTAATTCTCCTGACACCACGGTACGGAGATAAACACACCGGGCACAGACACAAAGGAAAGAAAAGTACAAGAAAATGTGATAACTAAAAAAAAAAAAAAAAAATAAAAAAAAAAAAAAAAAAAAAAAAACTGCACATTTCCCGTTATCAAGATTCTATATATCTGTGTGTTAATTCTTTTTTTTTTGAATCTTTAGTCTTTCATTTAATGTTCTAGATTCGGTCTCATATGATATGTAACTTTTTCAATTGTGGTCACCAGGATTTCCTTATGGATTTGACATTTTTGTAAATCATATTTTATTGTTGTTATTTTACGGTATTATAACTATTTTATCACCATTTTTATATCTTTTCATTATTACGGTATACGATGACGGGTAGGTATGAATTCGGAAGGACAGTTTCCAGGTCATTCGAAATACATACGTATTGGTGTTCGCAATGTTTGAATTAATCTTATTATGGTCGGTCCCAGGTCGTAGTACCATATAGGCGTTTTACTTAGGTCAGGTCCCACCAATTCTTTGCACACTGATGGTCTGATGTGAGTCCATTCTAGACTGACGAACCATACTCTTACTGTGGGACTACATTTCGTCCACCCAGACCCTTAATGGATGTGGTGGACTTCGTCAATTGTTTTGTTGTTTCGGGCTATTCTCAAGGAGAAGAAAACGAGAGAATCTCACTGCCAAAGGAGGGAGTCCCTTTGTCCAAAGGTGGTTTCCCTTGAGAACGCAAAGCATCCGGTAATTTGGATTCCCTAACGTTAATGTAGTTGCAGTTTATTTTTTGCGGAGATACACGCGAAATGTTCACCACCAATTATACAAACTTTCCTGGTGATATACTAGTTCATCTTAACATTTTATATCGATTCATTATTCGAGGTAGGCAGGCGAACTTCAATGACAATGAGATCGGAATGTCCCGAATTAAGGCTGGTTGCGGATAAACAGACACTTTAGTAAATCGTTTACTGTAATGACAGTCGGTTAGTAACCCGGGGTTTATTTCGGCCATTGTTTAGAAGTCAAATGTACCATTTAATAAATTTCATTCTCCAATTATTTCTGGACTTTTTTTGGGGGGCCCTTCCCCTTTTGGCCTTTTGTCAATCCGATCGAAGTCAATGCGGGTTGTAGTCGACTATAATATATGACTGGTGAGCTGCAATCGTAGTCGATCCGTGTACAGATTGGTAGTTTGACCCGAGCAAAGGGCCGGATTTATTTATAGTTTGTTCCCTTAGTTTATTCCACTTAAGTACAAGGCGGAATTTGGGAAACTTATATCTTTGTTATGGGCAGCAAGAGGACAAGGGGGTAACAAACTAACCTTGAGTGCCACCTCTGTCCTTCTTTACAACGGGACTGGTGTCTTTGAGGTCCGGAACGTCTCGGTTCTACTGTCTTTTTGACGACGCTTCCCTGGCGCAAATTGCGATGGGTGCGCAAGGCACTGTATTGTCCATAACACGAAAGTCCATGCATTTATTTCAAGTTTTCAGTGTTTTATGTCCAAATCAGAAAGGACGGAATACGTGGAACGATGGTCTAAACGTCACATATATAATTTTGTGTTCACACACTTTCTTGTCACCATCTAAAATGAGTTTTCCAATCCCTTTGTAAAAAATCCGTAGAACATGAGATGGGCTTGCCGGGTAAATAAAAATGACCAATGAGACTTCTAAAACACAATTACTACACTTTTATATTAGATGTAGTTTTCTGAAATCAGGTGTAGACCTCATTAGGTGTTGGATGGGAGACGCCGTATGTTCAGGTAATGTAATCGGACGTTGGAAAAAATGGTCGACCTATTGTGAACTTACGTTAGTTATAAATTTAGGTCGTCATTATTACTTTATATAATAAAGAACTTTACCCCGGGTAGACGTATATATCTTGGAAATGGAGTAACAGAACTACGGATATGAAAACATGCCAGATGAACTCAGTTAAAACTTACGTACCTGAAAATGACATTGGTTTCATTGATATGTCGAGACCATGAAGATGAAAAATGGTTCATGTTTTCTTAGTACTAAAAGAAGAAGGTGGAGATTCATACTACATATAATTTTTCCAACGAAAAACAGTTTTATTGCAAACATAAAGACCAGCTTTTTTCGAAATCACATTGTTGTTTCGGAGGTCTTCTTATATCTCTAGTAATCGAAGGTGTACTAAAATAGCGCAAAATTTTGATGTATTCCGTTATAATTCACAAAAGTACAATGTTGGAGTTAAACGATTAGTTAGCAGAAAGGATGTGTAAATCACGCTTTCCGAGGTATGTTTTTGTTTTTAGTTTTTATGGGGACCAAGAGAGGTAATTGTACTTCATTTAGTATACATGTAAATTGAGGTCGATTCTACATGACATGACGTCGTCGGAAAATACTCTTTTCTACTTTCACAATTTTTTCCATTCTTTCTGTACGTTTCTCTTACATTATGTAATGAAAATGTTCAACAGTCAAGAGGTAACCATTACACGGTATTTTACTTTATAAATTTATTATTTTTCGTAGTTTTATAACCACAGTTTACAACTTTTGTCCAGGTTAGTTCAGGAGGACTTTCGATAAATTGTTTATGAACTTTATTGTTCGGAGACTTTTTCTCCTCAAACTAATGTTCCGACAAACGTGTCGGTGCCTAAAATCGAAATACAGGATTTGATAATGTTTCAAATAGACTAAGACCACACACTATTTGTTGTTGCTTCGGATGGGAGGTCCGGTCATCCCTCGGGGAGGTTAGATGAGGGAACTGTCTTTTCAATATTCCAATGGTTCTCGTACAGGGACATAAAGAGTTTCAATGAATCGGATTCCATATTTATCAAATTTCTACATTAGGTATATTTTATTCATGTTTTTCTCAGTAATACGTTCCGGTGGTAAAATCTACTTTTATTATAAATCAAATTAATAATGCGTAATAATTAACTACCTCGAAGTGCAATAAAAACTTTTATACAAAACGTGTTTTAGACATTTACATTACGCGTCAAATATATCGGGGGAGTGGGAACTTTCGCTTTTTCTGGGTTGAGTATTAATAACATTCGGATTTAGTATTGAATAAACAAACTAATTATAAAAATCATCTACAAATACATTTTAAATAAATAACTTTCTATGAACCATCACATTTTGTACTGTTGATTAACAGACGATTTGTTACTCAGCTGATGTTAGGTAACATTGTGGTTATTCTTTATTCATCAATATATTTCTCTTTGTCTCTGCCGTCACCAGATACTACCGGGGTGCAGTCGGAGCTCTCCTGGTTTACGACATCGCCAAGCACCTGACGTACGAGAACATTGAGCGCTGGCTGAAGGAGCTGAGGGACCACGCTGACAACAACATCGTCATCATGCAGGTTGGAAACAAGAGCGACCTCCGCCACCTCAGGGCCGTGCCCACTGATGAAGCTCGAGCCTTTGCAGGTAAATTGACTCTCATTGATTCTCGGCTCACCGACTGCAGATTACTTTTGGTTCCGGATGAAATTGTTTGGATTAGCGGTTCTGAGAAAATTGCAAGCAGCAATGCCATAGAGCAAGCATTTGGGTTTTGCACTAGTTTAATTTAAGTAGAATTCCATGGTGTTATTTTTTAAACAAATATTCAGGTTATTTGAAATGTATGCAGGTTATTATCCAAGCTTTCTGTACATTTGAATGTCTTTCAATGTGTTAAGAATATTTTCTCTCCTTTTCTGTTCAGAAAAGAACAGCATCTCATTTATTGAAACCTCCGCCTTGGACTCCACTAATGTAGAAGAAGCCTTTAAGAACATTCTCACAGGTAGGAAAGTCATTAAGGGTATAATATTACGACCAGCTCACTGTTAATATCCTGGTAGTGTTACGCAAACTTTTACTGAATGGTCAATGTTTTTCTCTCTCAGAAATCTACCGTATTGTATCTCAGAAGCAAATATCGGACAGATCTGGAAATGACGAATCTCCAGGAAACAATGTAGTGGACATAAGTCTCCCCCCAACCTCGGACGGGCAGAAGGGCAACAAACTCGCTTGCTGCCAAAGCCTGTGACACTCCTATTTTCTTTTCTTGTTCGACTTCCTGTCGGTCTTTCCTCTCTTCACTTCTGGTTTACTTCAGTTGTCATACTGCTGTCATCATGCTCCACCTTTGGGTTCAAAAGTCTGCGACACCAAGACTCTTGTATTTGACATTCCTTTTTGCTGATTTCGTTGTTTTTTCTTTGTTTGTTTTTCTTCCTCTGATCACACACGAATCTGTCTACAATAATTCACAGCCTCATGATATGGCCTGGAGAGGAGAGAGAGAGAGAGAGTAAAGCTCTTTTGGGGGGTGATCTTAAAGCTGTAGTAAACTACAATTTCTTTTTAACTAACTAGCCTTGATGGTCCCATTGACCCGTTCTTGTTGAAGGAATAGTGAGGGATCAGTAGCCCTCAGTGCTTCAAGTGGTTTCTACCTGCCTCCTTTTCTCAGCTTGCAATGATAGATTTGCTGTCATGATCCGCTTCAGTGGAATCCCAATTTCATGTCAGGTTGACCTGATTCTGCCTATCATGCAATACGGGTGTAGAGGAAGAGCTGGGAAGAAGCTACCTCTGGGGTATTGATTTTTTTTCTGCTCTCTTTGGATTTTCTATTTGCATCTTTAATTTTAATGTTCCTCTTTCAGCACTGTGCCTACTGTGGCATGAAATTAACACGAGCCAGGGACCAGACTGGCTGTGACTGTCTGACTTAATATGGGCAAGTGTGAAACAAATGAAGGGTTTTTATTTCTGTGTGTGTGTTTCAATCTTAGTGCACAAAGATACCAAAGGAGTCTGATGCAATCGTTGTCAGTTTTGGGTTTTCTCATCTAAGCGTTTTCAAGGCTGCTGAGGTTGCATTTCATTGCTGTATTTGGCAAACCAATCCAGGCTATTTGCAAAACAATGTGTAATGCTATACAGCAAAAATAATGTTAACAATTGTGGTGTGTAATTTTATTATTTGTGTAATACTAGTATCAGCCTGGATAAACCTGTGTGTTCCTTTATTGAGTTTGTTGAGGTCGAACAATCTTCTTTTTTTTTTTTTTTTAAGGAATACTCCATCTTCAAAAGTATAATTTTGTATATCAAATACTTTCACATTTACAGTCCGACGCTTGCGCAGGTCTGCTACTAAGTGTATTAAATGATAAGGTTTGACTGAAAATGCATTTGTTGGTAAGAAGTTGGCATGCGACAGATGAGTAAAATATACAAATTGTAATTTTGGTGCTGAAAGAAAATCTCTTTTGCACTTATGTCAAATCATTTCAGTGTAACAAAGTCCCATAAATTTTAAACATACACTTAAAATCTTTGTTGAGGAACATTTCCTGTTGGCTGTAAAAGAAACAATGTTGATTTAACTGCATTTTTCTCTCATTTGTTAATCACCCTTTGCTTTCATTTGAAAGTGATACCTGTTAAAAGGAAATTGGTGAAATCTGAAAACATTTAAATGGGGAACTAACCAATTCGAAATTATATTCACGTAACACTCCAGCTCGTTGGAAAGTGAAAGTGAAAATCTGAAATGCAAATTGTTTCAAAGGTAACCTAACTACCATTTATTCCCTCAGATTGGAGAAATGCTTTTGTGTGTGATTGATTTGATTATGTCTTGCAATATTTCACAGTTCTTTCAAATATGTAAAGGGAGCAAACATTAACTTGTTATGCTACTTTTGAATAAACTGAAGTATAAATAAACCTTACCCACATGACTGTATAGGAAACAGACTTGTTTGGATACATTACTCACTCTGTGTACCCGTAACGTAATACTTTGTCCACTCCTGTTGTTGTGAAATGTAGGTGTTAACGGAAGGGTGGTTGTCCTGACGGAGGAAATGTTTGTACAATGAGGATACAGGCTCTAGCTGCATCTAGTCCATAGAACAGGCTTCCATTTTAATCCGCCCGTTCTTATACACAAGATGAAATCGTTTTCACTCAAGGTAGGCTCTCTAAAATGTTGGATAGTTGGGTTTTGAGTTATTCTTCCTCATTCAAACAAGTTGACAATTTCAATATAGTACTACTTAATATAAAATAAATTGTATTTTAGAATGCTGTAAAAACTAAATAGATACATATATTTTTGCTTGGAAAGCATTTTCTGAAAGTTATAGTAGAAAGGCTATTAAAATCTCCATTACTAAAAGTCAACACTAAGTACTTCAAAACAGAACGTGTAGGCATTACAATGTAAATAAGCATAAAATAAAAGCCATGACTCAAAAGGATCATTCATTAAACATGGTAGCAGGACATGGGCTAGTTGTTAAATTAAACAAATAGAGTAGCCTAAAATAAAATGACAAAACCTTTTCTAAAAAAAAAATAAGTAGGCCTAGGCCTATGTGGCAAAACTAATTTTATTGGATAGATACAAATTAATTTCTTAATATCCATCCATCCATCCATCTTCTCCCGCTTATCCGTGGTCGGGTCGCGGAGGTAGCAGTTCCAGCAGAGAGCCCCAAACTTTCTTTTCCCTGGCCTCATCAACCAGCTCTTACTGGGGGATCCCAAGGCGCTCCCAGGCCAGCGAAGAGATATAATCCCTCCATCTGGTTCTAGGTCTACCCGTTGGTCTCTTCCCAGCTGGACGTGCCTGGAACACCTCCCTAGGGAGGCGCCCAGGTGGCCTCCTAACTAGG